CAGCCTCTTCAATTACACTGATCCAAAAGTTAAAAAATATATAAGATAATCTTTTCTTTCAAAATTGACTCAGTAACAATATCTAACAACTGCTTACAGGGAAAATAAGAAAAACCCAAAACTTGCAGTGAGCTATAAAAACATCTATAATATGATATCAGAACCTAGTGTTACATGTTCATTGTTACTAGACAAATTACCTATACAAGATGAGTATGCCCCCAAAGAAATGTGCCTGGGTCTTGCCTATCTAATAGGACACGGTGCATGTACCATAGTAGCGTACTGTTGAGACAATTTTATATGAATATGCGTACAGACTGAATTTTAAAAAACTCTACTGCAATCTACAACTTTCCTTATCAATGACCCATTTAAAATTCACAAGTAAGCACAGAGATAGTAAGTGAAGCTTTATTCTAAGGGATGCCTGCCTTACCCCTACCATGCCCCCAAATTAACCATGTATAACCATGTAGCACTGTAGTCTTCAATGTGTTAAAATTTTATATACCTACGTGTGTGTACACACACACGCACACACACACGAATGAGTATATGAGGATGCTAAGACCATTCAATAGGGAAAGGCGAGTCCTTTCAAAAAAGGATACTGGGAAAACTGGATATCCATATGCAAAAGAAAGATGCTGGACTCTTACCTAACACAATGTATAAAAATTAATTCAAACTGGATCAAAAATCTAAACCTAAGAGCTAAAACTAAAAAACTCCTAGAAGAAAATACAGGGAAGACCTTCATATCATTGGATTTGGTAATGATTTCTTAGACATGACATCAAAAGCATAGGCAACAAAAGAAAAAATAAACTGAACTTTATCAAAATTAAAAACTATTGTGCACTAACGGATACTATAAAGATGGTGAGACAACCCACAGAATGGGAGAAAATATTTGCAAATCATGTATTTGACAAGGGGTTAATATACAGAGTATATAAAGAACTTTTACAACTTAACAACAAAAAAGCAACCAACCCAATTTAAAAACAGGTAAAGGACTTCAATAGACATTTCTCCAAACATATACAAATGGCCAGTAAGCACATGAAAAGATGCTCAACACACTAATCATTAGGAAAATCCAAATCAAAACCACAATGAGATACCACTTCACACCCATTAAGACAGCTATTATTTTAAAAAAACCAAAAAACAGAACATAACAAGTGTTGGCAAGGATGTGGAGAAACTGGAATCCTTGTGCATCGCTAGTGGGACAGTAAAACGGTGCAGCTGCTGTGGAAAGCAAAATGGCAGTTCCTCAAAAAATTAAATACATAATTATCATATGCTGTGGACTGACTGAATTGTGTCCCCCAAAGCCCACATATTAGAAGCTTAATTCCCACTGTAACTGTTGAAAGTGGGAAATCCTAATATGGTAATTGAAAGGTGGGGTCTTGAAGAGGTGATTAGATTGTAAGACCATGCAGTAGTGAATGGATTAATAATGGTGGCCAGGGGTGTGGTTTTGAGGGTTTTAAAAGGAGAGCATGTGAAAGCCTCTTTCTCTCTCTGCTGTGCCATTTTCTGCGATGTGAGACTGCTGCATTGTTGTAAAGTCAACACCAAAGAAAACCTTCACCGCATGTGTTCCCTGGACTTTGGACATCCCAGGCTCTGAAACTATAAGCAATCAATTTTCATTTTCTTATAAATTACCCAGTTCCAGATATTTTGTTATAAGCAAGAGAAACAGTCTAACATACCATATGAACCAGCAATTCCACTTCTGGGTATATACCCAAAAGAACTGAAAGCAGGGACTGGAATAGATAATTGTGCACCAATGTTCATAGCAGCATATTCACCATAGCCAAAAGGTGAAAACAACCCAAATATCCACACCTGGAATATTATTCAGCCTTAAGAAGGAATGAAATTCTGATACCTGCTATAACATGGATGAATCTTGAAGATAGTATGTTAAGTGACATAAGCCAGACACAAAAGAACAAATATTGTACGACTCCACTTACATGAAGTACCTAAAATAATCAAATTCATAGAGACAGAAAGAAGAAAAGTTGTTACTAAGAGGCTGGGGGGAGGGTAGGTAGGGAGTTACTACTGTTTAATTGGTAGAATTTCAGTTCAGATGATGAAAAGTTCTGGAGATGGATAGTATGATGGCTGCCCCAGTATGATTAAGGCCACTGAACTGTGCACTTAAAAATGGTTAAAATGGTTATGTTATGTATACTTGATCACAAATAAAAAAAATGAATGTGTGTGCTGTTTATTTTTACTATGGTCACAGTACAGGAAGCTGGTTAAGAATACAAGCTTAAGAATTAGGCTGCCTAGTTTTAAACCCAGCTCTGCCATTTTATACCTCTGTAGTCTTTCGGCAATAACTTACTGTCTGTGCCTCTTTTCTCAAATAATAACAAAACCTATTTCATTGGGTTATGGGAGGGTTAAATAAGTTAATACATATAAAGTGTTTAAAATAGTGCATGTCATACAGTAGTCACTTTTTATTATTACGAATTTAAAATATATTTTAAATAAGATTTAAGTCAAACATCTGCAGACCCTCCAAACCCTCTCCTCAAAACTGTTGAGTTCAGTAAAACACAGTTTGAAAACCAGTGATCTTATCAAAACTTCTCATTTTATAGGTAAAGGAATTAAGAGCCCAAGATAAGTTCATTGCCTGAGATCATATATCTTGTTTCACTAATATTAATCTTCCTAAAACAAGAGTTTGAGATTAACAACACTAATGCTGACATTCAACTACCTCCATTCAACCAAGGCAAGCAAAGCCATGAGACTGTATGTGTATCCAAGAAATCTGTGAACAGTGTGATCATTATCCACGATGGTAACTATGGGATGGGAACCAAAAGGTAGTGAAACCAAAGGAAAAAAAACCCAATAATTATCCTCAGACAATGGTTAAAAACCCCTTTTCAGAAAAGTTAAATATTTGTGAAAACACACTCAATACATGCTCACTACTCCACTCATTTCAGCCAGTTACTTACTATATAATCTTAGTGAGACGACTTGAGTCTGAAAAATTAGCTGCTGCTTCTACGAAATAGAGCTAATATTCACCACAAGGAAAATGTACAAATAATTCTTTATTAAATTCAAACAGAAGAGAGCAGCAATTCAAATAAATATAAAATGTCTAATCCAAGAAATCATGTCTTAAGCTTTGCAGACATTTTTGTACTTACTTGAATAGGGCTATATCTGGTTTCTGGGAAATTCACGACACAAAAAGCAAAATAACAGAGACAATCTTTGAAGGTCAGACTCAACAAGAGCTAAAAAGCTTTTGAGCGTCTCTATTCTGCCCTTCCCCCAATGGTCTTCCTCCTTAATTCAGCTCTCAAAGGATAACACCACCTCTATGTGGAATGTCCTCCCCCTTCCCATCTGCATCTGCTGAAATCCCACCTATCCTTAAAGGTTCCACTTAAATGCCGCCGCTTCCACGAATTTCCCCCCATTTCCCCAATACAGATTTAATCTCGCTCTTCGCTCCCCTATTCTACACCTCTACTTCAACATTTTATTATATAATGCGCTGTACTGCAATTACCTATATTGACTTCTTTCCCACCCTCTCCCAAGAAAATCCCCAGAGAGCAGTAGGGGAGGGAGGAAAGGAATTCACATTTGTTAAACACCTCAGTGCCAAGCAATGGGCTACACGTTTTGCATAATTATCTCACTTAATCTGCTTGATAACCATCTGGGAAGGTAAACAAGTAGCGTTACTCCCATTTTACTGATAGGGAACGTACTGTAAAGAGTTCAATAGCTTATCCAACATCACATTACTAGCCAGTGAGTCTGGAACAGTGGGGGTTCCCCCGGCTCCACAGAGCTCTTTCCACCACCCCATGCTGTAGGTCTAGTTCACTTTGTGTCCCCCACCCTGCCTGACAGAGCAGGTATTCCATAAACGTTTGCTAAATTTAATATTCCCTGGACTCAATACCGCTCTTTAATAATCCGACCACGCCTCACCCCTAGCCCGTTGTTATCTTTACTGTTCCTTTACAACGGACTTTACATACACAGGCAGCTCTCTAGATCTCCATAAGAAATGCTGCAGATAATATCAACTCTTACTGGGAGACTGAGTGAAGGACCTTTCCATTCTCCCAGACTCCCCCAATTGCTCTGCCCACAGAATATAATGCACACACACAGGCACATGTAACACTCATAGCCTTCCAAAAAGCTCTTATTTCATACTAAGCCACTTCTTCGTGCTCCATAAGCAATAAGGCTTATGCGGTTTCCAGCTCACACGGTGGGGACACTCTAAGACTCTGTCTGAAATAAGAAAAACCACATCTTTCAAACCGTCTTAAAACGAAGGCATCCTAACTAACGCTATTGCACTGCCCCCACCCCCCACGAATTTCAGTGGATTTCCGGCGGGAATGTACATAGGCACGGAAAGATGAGACGGGGCTAGGAAGCAATGGAGCAATGACTGAGACTGCTTAATTAGCACACACAGGAGGCGCCCCGCCTTTCTAAACCTCGGCACTGAACTCATCTATGAAAGATGGGGGACAGCGAACCCGAGCAACCCGACATAGAGTTACTGGTTTCTGCAGCTAATAGGAAGAGAGTCCTTTCCTCCCCGCGGTCCCGAGCCACCAGCGCCCGATGCCGGGTCGGAGAAACCCACCCTCACCCTTCCCAGGCGGCCCCATATCTCATTGTCTCCCTCTGTCGCTGCCCCCGGGGGCCGCAGGGAGCAGCCCAGGCCCCGCCAACCCCCACCCATCCGCTGGCCGCATCGCTGGGCGCGGTCGGGTCTGCCCGGGCCCCGGCCGGAGTCCGGCAGCGACCCCGCCCCGGGCTGCAGCCTTCCGCCCCGGTTCTGGCTGGCGGGGCCGGCCGCCGGGAAAATGGAGGCGGGAGCGGCGAGAGCGCCTCACCGCCCGGCGCCCAGCCGGCAACCTCCCCCGACCCCAAGGGCGAGGCCGGGCACTCACCGCGGCAGCCGCTCGGCCACCCG